TCCATGCTCTAGCTGCAGATGTATTCAGTGGGGAATTATCTCATTTTAGAACCAGACATGTTGTATGGTATCATATTTTTTTTTCACAAAGTGGGGTGAATATTATTTTAACAGCCAAGGAGAAATGCTTCCAGCAAATATTTCACCATGATGAAACAGCTACTCAAGCCTCTGGTAGGTTAAGCATTAAGCACCTCATCAGAATGGATTTCAACAAAACTGCAAACCTAGTCTGCATCCAAACTCTTCCTTTGAATACAGTATTGTTCTACTCATGCAATGACAAGCTACCACTGTTTTTGATCTACATTCTTTTCTAATTCCTTTATGGTTATCCTCCTTCAATAATATGTAAGTTAATTTTTAAAAGTCTGTCTACAATTAGAGCTGATTTCAAGTTTCAAGTTTAGCACTCTCTGTCTATCGAAGAGAATACAAGTTGTGTCTTCATGAGCTTTCCTGTCTCTCTTCCTTTACTTGAAACAAAATTATTTGTTTGTCATCACACTCTCCTCCCTCCCTTCCTCATTCCAGGACCAGCTGACTTCACAACGACTGTGGGTAGCTTACAAAATATCAAATGTATAATTAAAATACTATTAAAAATACTATTAAAAACATACCATAACAAAACATGATTGTCCAGACAAGACAACAACATTCAAAAAAATATAACAGGGATTTGCAACTAGGTGTCAATTGATTTCCAGAATCTTTGCAGGGTAAAAACCATACGTATCTTAGAGGGGATGCTATTTCAGAGAGTTGCAATAAAGGGAAATGGATTTCAATATAAAATATGCTGCACTGATTTTGGTTCCAGAGGTTCCCCGGAGTGCTGACTGTAGAGCCGAGGTGGTGCAGTGGTTAAAATGCAGTACTACAGGCTACTTCTGTTGATCACAGTTAGTTTGGCAGTTCAGGTCTCACTGGCTCAAGATTGACTCAACCTTCCATCCTTCTGAGCTCAGTAAAATGAGGACCCACATTGTTGGGGGCAATATGCTGACTCTGTAAACTGCTTTGAGAGGGCTGTAAAGCACTGTGAAGTGGTATATAAGTCTAAGTGCTATTGTTATTATAGCTTTGAATTAAGTGGCATCTCCTTTTAAACACTCTTCTCAAACTACATTTTTCCAGTTACTTTTTCACTTTTTCCCACTGTTACAATGAAAACATGACAGGTAGTCCTCAACTTGCAACCATAATTGAGCTCCCAAATTATGGCTGTAAATTAGTGAAAGTCAGTACCTTTATTATCTACCATCTGTCTTACAAGAAAGTCATCAGACTGTTTCCCTTCTTCTGAGAAAGTGCAGTTGTGCAAGAACTCCAAGCTAGGCCCTCACTTGACCCTTCCTTCCAGTCTAGTTATCAGTTGTCCATAATCATGCTCACATGACTGTGGGATATTGCAAACAGCCATAAAGATGAGCTTGTTACCAATTGTCAAAGGGAATATGATAGCCTGGAGTAGGAATATAGGACATAGTATCACTTTAATAGAATGGGAGGAAGGTCTGGAGTAGAAATAATAAAATCACAAAATCGGCAGCCTACAAGGAAAATGCCTATAAGATATTTTACAGATGGCACCTTCCCCCCTCGAGTTTAGTG